TAAAAAAAAAAAAAAAGTGGATGTTTACAAATGTTTGGATTTTTTTGAGGATATTTGTATCCAAGCATCCTAGCAATTGAAAAAACATTAATACAAGCCCCTTATATGTACAACACGCAAATCAAAATATGTCAATCAGTGTGGCTATTAGACAAGCAAACATAAAGTAGTAGTGCAAAAAAAAAAATATAAAAAAAAATTAATAATAATAATAAACACAAAATAATAGTAAAAGAATTCACATATATTTTCCCATCGCATCAACCAGAAAATCAAAGGCCATTTGTTAGAATATTTTGTTGGAACCATTCGAATTTAATTCCAGTTGATGTTCTAGTTAGGCAAGCAAAAACAATTTAAACAGGAGTTTTTTATTTATTTACTTTCATTTACTTGTTTATAATTTAGTTCCTAGTATTTTCTATCTATGTATGCTTACTTTATGATGTGTTAAATATTACGAAGTCCTCTGTACTTATGATTACGTGCTTATAAGGGTTCCTTACATGTGGAGGAAACTTTCTATCATGTGGAGGAAACTTTGTATGAGGTGGATAGAGGACGAGATATACACAAGCTTATTGGATCTTGGACGCATTTTGCAAAGATTTGCAAGGATATCTACTATGCTGAAGATACAATCGAACTGAAAACCTAAGGCCATCAGGATGTTGTTTCATAGCTTTAAACTTAGCGGCAGACCCGACGCAACCCCATGCGGCTGACATCCCCGCACATAAGGAAAAACGTGTACAACAACAACATAGCCAGTATATTCCCAACTCCCAACTGATTGTGGTCTGGGGGTCAGTTGTACGCAGACCTTACACTTGTAATTATACAAGGAGGCTATTTCCGTAGCGACCCAAGGTGCATTGCGTCGTTTGATATATTTTTTTTTCTAGAAACTTCGCTAATAGAAGAAGCACTAGAAGTTAATCGAGTCATTTTGATCTAGTATTATTAGCACTATGCCAGGAGAATTGTCAACAATGACTCTTCCAGCTCCATTTGCAATGGACATAAGGAAAAACATGTTTTTACATCAATTTTGGAAATTCTGGAAAGTCCGTGTATCTAAAAAATTCATAATTTTGAAGAGTATGACTTCAAGTCACACTGAAGAAAACTCAGTTCTTGAGAAAATTTCGAAGATTTGGAGCACTGAAAAGTCTTTTGAGTTAAGGAACCTTTCATTATTTGGTCACGAACAATAACCTAACTATTAGAATCTTTCTATTATATTATCGGACAGGAGAACAAGTTGAGAGTACAGCGGTCACAAAATATATTGTATACTCTGAGTGTTCGTTAGTTTTGTTTTTATTTTCATAGATTGTGAATCTAAGCTTACAAACACGCATTTTTATGCTTCTGCAAGGTTGGAGCCTAATTTTTTTTTGTGATTGCTAAACACTTAGGATAAGTGGTGTCTTGCCTAGGAGGGATCGAAGAGAGGCTTCTAGGTCCACAAGTTTGGCCAAAAAAAGTAGATATTGGAGTGGAGTATAGCGTTGGTAATTTTAGAAGAGTCCTTTACGTGTAAATCAAAACTATACACTGTGGGATGCGGTCATTCACTAATGAAAGAGTTCTGAGTCGTGAAGAAAATTTTGTTTATTCGTGCGTTCGCTATATCAGTGTTGTTAAATAGCGGCCATGGCGGTACGGCATGGCGGATTTTAGCCTGGCCGCTACGATATGGCCGCCTTGTGGCTGGCTTTCAATGGTGGCGCCATTGCGGCCGCCCTGAGCATTGGCGGTGTGGCGTGAAATGGTTGTTTCTGCCAAGAATCTGACCTAAAAAGAAAGGAACGCAATTGGGCCGGCCCAAGTCTGCATCTACATCTGCTAAAAAATAAAAAAGCCCCAACCCTAATATCCGGCCACCTACCTTTTCTATTTATTTTTTCCTTTTCTCTGTTTGTTTTTTCCCTACCTTTTATGTCCCTTTTCTTTTTTGTCCCTCATTTGATTTCCAGATTCCCCTTTCAACTTCTCCAATTTTGACTGTTCTTATATTTATAATTTTTTTTATTTAATGTTCCTTCTTTACATTAGTACAAAAAACTCAGTTTTTCATTTACTTTACTGATCTTTACTTTTCGGTTTTCTACTTATTTGTTTTAGTTTTCAGCTCTTTCTTCTATTAAAATAATTCTTTCTAGCTGTCATTTATTTTTAAACTCTTTATTTAAATGTTTGATTTGATTTCCACCTTTCTTATGTAACTAATGTTATTTTTATGTATTAATTGACATGATTTAGGCTTAATTATGGTGTGATACATACATATATTAGAAGGTATAAATATATAAAATTATATTTTTTGAGTCCGACATGCCTTCCGCAATTTTCTGCCACGCCTGCCATATATATATGGCAATTTTATGGCTTTCCGCCATCCGCCATTAATAGCACTGCTTTTGTTTTCTTGCACAAAATATATTTCTGCACAAAATTCTGATCCCCCACACACTTCACCATTCAAGTAATAAGAAAGACACTAAGAGCATCTCCAATGTGGCTTTTGACATTATAAAAAATCATACATATCATCAACCTTTGAAAGCGTGTTGCTAGTTTATTCTCCAATACATCTTGTCATGAACTCTTTCATATCAAGTTGAGGTGGATGACATTTAATGTTGACGATGTTGAGCCCACTTTCTAATATCTAACACCATGTTAAAACATGATGACTCGTCAATTCACTTTAATTTTTTGGTTAATTTTTTATTTTTCTTGTATCAATGAATTATTTTAATTGGTCCACCTATACAAAAACTTCTTATTAAATTGATGCATTGAAGATACTAGTTTGATTCAAATTTCTAATCATTTAACATTATTCCTATGTGGATTAACACTATAATCATTGGCATGTGTTAAAAATTATTATCTTTCAAAGTCATCGCATTGGAGATGCTCTAAAAGTGAATGATATGCAAGCTTTGTGTGTGTGAGATAAGGAGAGAGACCATACCTTATAGTCATAAAGATCACTAGCACCCGAGACACTGCTTAACTTCCCACTATGCGAGCGGTCACATTCAGAATCCGTATCATGGTCGGCTTCGTTTTGAGCATCGTGATAACCATGGATTGTTATGTCAGGATCATCGCTCGAATCTTCACTTGCACTGTTATCAGTTTGAGAATCTACAGACATGGAGCACCTGTGCAGAATATCATCCTGAAATAATACAATAACTCAATGTGGTCGATTTCCAAGT